TTTTTTTTTTGGGGGGGGGGGGGGGGGGTGGTTGGTTGAAGTAGATGGACAATGATCTCATGTTATACTGAAGTCTTTGGTCAATCACTACATCTTTTTCTGGTGCAAAGTAAGCATCGATTAGTAACCTTTTGAGATAAGCCACTATTTCATTCACAAGCAGCAAACTACATCACTATCAACCACACCATGGCTTTGAAAAAAAAAAAAAAAAAGATTTCTCAGGTTCACTTACATATTCACACACTACTACAAAAATTCACAGGTTCAGTTTTAGAGAGGCATAATTAGAACATACAATGATTCCAAACAGAAGTACAAGGAGACTTTCATTGGACATGTTCCAAATGGCAGGAGTCACAGACAAGACCAAGAGAGGGGCATATTCAAGTATATGGATTTAAGGTTTCCAACTCAAACTGCTGCATCCACAGAGAGGTCAAATGCGAGTGCTGTGGCATGTCTGAGGACTGCACCATAGCCTACATCCAATGCACCAGGGCTCAGTTTTATGGCAAATGGGTTTGTGGCCTGTGCTTGGAAGCAATAAATGAAGAGTCCTACAAGATTGGAGTACACGGTATTATTCACGAAGAAGCTCTACATGCACACATTGAAATATGTAAAAAGTTCGATAAAACCATCAGAGCGAATCCTGCCATGTCTCTTGCATATGCCATGACCAAAATTCTGAGATTGTGCTCCAAGAAGAATAGATGATGTACATAGTATTGGACAACACAGTACACTATAATGTACAAAATTTCTATTTCTTTTTCTTGTGTCCAATGTTGTACACTCCAACTTACCAAATAAAACATCAGAGCAGACGTATTTATGCAGACAATTCAAAGTCTATTCAAATAAGTTCAATTGTTGCTTTCCATCAATCCACCTTGCCAAGCAAGTGTTTAAAACTCAATTCACATTTCCAAATGTAAACACTATTCTGCAGAACAATATACAGAAGTATGGACAGCTCAAAAAAAATAACAAATAAAAGCTTGTCCGATTTGGGACATTTCTTTTGATTCTAGGGACTGCAGAAATACAAGACCTGACAAGTCATTCGATGACTGATTTCACTACTAAGTGAACATTTCATTATTGAAAAACCAGAAGTTCATTTAAAGATTATAGACAAATGTTATATTCCGGGAGAACTACAAACTCATGGGCCATATAGCACCTCATATACAGAGCTATATAAAAAATGTACTATAGAGAAGGGGTTTCTGAGTTCGAAACAGAGACTTCTGTGAAGCCTTCATGAACATCCCCCCGGCAGAGTGGGCACACACTGGAGAACAAGTACATGATTAACAGTTAGATATTGAAAAGGATAGAAGGCTAGGGGGTGGGGGATGCAGGATGAAGGGCGGCAATATCACATACCCATGAATCTCCTTGAGCCATTTATCAACACATGACATGTGATACTCATGGTAACATGGAAGAACTCGAATTTTGTCTCCCTCCTCATACTCAGCTAGGCAAATGTAACACCTGCAAGACAAGGTTTCATCATAAATAGTTAAAAATTAAAGCTATGGCGAACTACCGGCTAATACAAAAAAATACCACTAGACATTCACATACGGGAACACTGTGGGACAAAATAGTAAATGACTTTGCTGGTAAACCAGTTATATCACAAAAGATAATATTTGCTTTGTAGTCGGTCTATGTCAAAATAGGACATGTGTCAAGATATGATTGAAGATATGAAAAAATAAAATAACAATATGAATTCCATAGTTTTAGTGATTTTATGTCACTGTTGAATGAGCAATCCGCTCCTTTCTGGCTACAGTTATCATAACATTAAAAGATAGGTTAAAACACAGTTTCCTGAGTGGTTTCTTCTCTATCCTTTTCCCAGGGTAGCATAATTAGCAAATGATGTGAGCAAAAAGGAATTCAAAAGAATTTTGTCATCAAACTTCACTATATATTTCACTGTAAAATTTAGCCCCAGTTTCGAAAAATAATGTTTTGAATAGTGATTTTTAGGAGAATGTGTGGTTAAAAAGTAGGAAAAGACTTTGGGTTTACATGCAGAATATTTTATTGTGTGAATGCATGATTAAAAATAAGTATGTAGAAAAAAAAAACTTTCAAATAATGGTTGTCAATCAGGGGCTTAATAGTATCTCTACAGTTTGATGAAGTGTACTCTTTTCATTATTTTGTTTCCTTATTCAGAGACATTGTCATATTTCCATTATTAATATAAGCAAAGCTCGTCATGAGGTGGGCACTCTTGAAATCAAATTGTGTAAACAGAACGTGAGTTTTTCTATCTCCCTTTATTATGTCTCCTCCAATATTTTTTCTCCATTTTTATAGAATTTTCTTGCCAACAGGTGCTTCATCAACCTGCTTAGATTTGCTTTCCAAGAAGCAAACGAATACAAATTATTAGCGCCCCCCCCCCCCCCCCCCCCCCCCCCTTGTTTTTCCCATTTTTTGGGATCTTCCAACCACTTTGAGCACATCCCATTAAAAAAGCAGGGGAATACATACTGCTGATCCTCATCTCCACTTTCCAATCCTTCTGGCTTTCTGTGAGTCTTCAAGGGAAAAGAGTCAACCACCGATTCTGGAGCTGGGAGTGAGACCATAGACAAGGAAAGTGACATTGGTTGTCGATGAATTTCATCCAGTACCTGTAGATATTAATGTAGTTTCTCCATTTAGGATATATCAATCAATAGAATGTTAACTGCATATAACAGGAAAAAACACATAAGTACATGTGACTTATTGGAGATCTCAAATATAAATGTTTACTGTGATTAAGGTAAATAGTATTTATATATTAAAAAGACAAGCATCAGATAACAAACTTAATTCTGTAAAATTCTCTTTGCAAAATTCACAGGACTGAAAAGGAATCAAGCACTCATAAAAAACACTCTTAAGAGCAAAAGTTTATTCTCTTGAATATGGAGTTTTATTTTAGCTTACTTTCTCTCGCAATTGTTGCTCATAATTGGTCCACTATTTTCTAGCACAAACCTAATACTCCTATTTAGCCCTATTCGGCCCCCATTTTTAAAACTAATTTTTTTCCCAAACTCATTTTTAAGCATATTCTCCCTATAAAATAATTTTGGCACGTGCATCCATAACTTTTCACTACTTTTTAATCACACATTCTCCGGAGAAAAAAAAAATTCACTTTCCAGCAAATCTATTCTCAAAAAGCCCAAATATCTACCAAACAGAGGCTTATACTTCTAGTGGAAGCATTCTATTTTATGTGCATATATGTTCCTATATCTAATTCATTTAACATGTATATATGAATACACGAACTTTAGAGATAATTGATGTACATTCATGAATCGAGGTGCCTGGGGCTGTAGTATTTTCCAAGAGTTGGGCTAACAGATTCACTGTCATTCTTCTAAAATTAATAATAAGCACTTGTTTGAGCCCTATTAATTTACATTACATTTTATTTTTCTCTCTCCTATTTTCAACCACATAATCTTCCATAAAATAATATTACACGTAAATCGAAAATTTTTCCTTCATTTTCAGCCACTCATTTTTCAAAAAAATACTATTCCACCCATTAATTTTTCACGTAATGGGGGCCAAACGGGGGCTAAATAATATTTTGGACTACCATCAAAGTTCAATGTATCGTGTTCAATGTTCACGACAGCAGTAAGTTAAGTTTCAACGCGCCCCTTAAACTACTTGTCAAATACCAAGCTTTTCTTTTAAGTAGGTTGCTCTTAATAAATTTCTTTATGTAGTCATTCAGAAATGCTGACTTCAAACTTCATGTCCTTTTTCAGCTGCTAATCTAGCAATTAATCCAACTGTCTCCAATGTAATCGTTAACTCACTGCAGTAATAAATTTTGTATAATCTAATCCTTGCTTCTGCTGGTATCCTTTTACAACCAAGCGTCTTAGAGCTAATTTCTTTCATGTCCTTTTGGACAACCTATTTCAAGTAACTTGTATTACTGAATTCTCTTGCTTTATTCTTTTAAACAATTTCCCTCTCCAACAATTTTTTTCTGCCTAGTGGCAAGTTTATTGTCTCTCAATTTCTTTCTTCCAAAGAGTTTACTTTTTTCATGGATCTCTTTTCGTTCTTTTATTTGTTGAAATTCTCTTGTAAGCTTGCCTTTTTCTTCTCATTTTGTGATTGATGAACTTCCTCATTTCTTACTACCCCATTCCAAATCTTCAACTTTCTTGAAAAACAATTTTCACACATATTTGTATCTTTATGTCTGATGCTTCAAATCCATTTGTAAATAGGTATGCTATTTACTCTCATTTAATTCTTAGCATTTAGTTTCTTCACAAATCCGCAATTCCTTCCATTAATTTCAGCTCTCTTTTTATCAAGCTCATCACTCAAAATCTGTAATATTTCCTTTGTGCAAAAAACTTCTCTCAAAGTTCTTTCATTTTCGATGGAGCTCACTCTTTCCTCTGCAACTTCAAATTTTGCTTTAATGTTGTTCTTTCCCCTTAGACTCGTCTGTTCGCTTTCCCAATGTCTGCTCCCACTTTCTCAGTATTTTTTCTCCATACGGTTCATTTCAGTTGCCTTCTGCTGCAGCCTACAATTGATCTAATTTCGTTTTCTACTCTTCCTCAAATAAATCGTCTTTCTCTTTCATTCCCAACTCAAATTGCTGCTTTTTTAAATTGAGAACGGCCAACTGTTTGTCGAAAATCTTACAATCTACCATGTGCATAGTCTTCAAATATATGGGCATGTTTTGCTGACATAGTGTCCGAAATTGTTTCAAAAATCTCTATGATATCTAGTATGTCTCGGGAACCATACTAACACCTTCATTTGTTAACTTCATTACCTGTAATTCAACTTGCTAAAATTAGGAAGTTTCTGGCTCAACATATTGTTTGGTGTATCTTTAACAAGCTCTTCATCAAAGCTCTGATGCCACTTTGTAGAAAACAAATGGGCACACTCACAAAAACACTCCATGAGAAAAAGTTTATTCTCTTGAACAAATTAGTTTTTACTCAGCATACTTTCTCTTACAGTTGCTTCGACCTTTTTCTGAATAGAAACCAAAGAATCCTATTTATACCTGTACAGAGAACATTCTATTTAATGTGCACTCTAATCCTACATCTAATTCATATAACATTATAGAAGAATTTATGCACTCTATATCAAATACATTTTATGTGTATTATGAATTCTATTAATATGATAGATTCTTGATCTAGAACAATGGTAAATGGACTATGCATGTTCAATGTATCAAGAGGTGAACTTCAAAAGATAAACTTCCAACATGGTCAACTTCAGAAGATATCAAGAGTTAAACAATCAGCTTTAAAAGCCAAAACTGTCAGCAGAAAAAAAAATAAAAATCGAAGCTGAGCAAAATATGGCTGATTAATATTGACTTCTAATGAATTACCTCAAACAACGCTTCAGCTAGCATGACAATCCTTGAAACGCCAGCACGAGCACCAGATTCCTCAGATGTCAAACTTGACTGACATGAGCACATGCCATCAGTGTGTATCCCTCTAGGACAAACTGCAATTCTTTGTTCGGTTGTATCAAAACCACCACGAAGTCTTTCCCAAATCTGTATGCAGCACTTGACCAAATGAGTATGGAAAAATCATAAATTAGACAAAATTACAACATGGTTATCTGCCCCATCAAAACAGTGCTCTTATGTATAGAGTGAAAGAGAATTAATAAGATATCATGCCTCAAGGTAATGAAATCTACATCTTAATAGCTCACATCATAAAGCATGAAATTACAGTGCACCAGCAGATAGAGCCTTTCTCCAAATGTGAAGAAAATATGCATTAACCAACAGTTGATATGATAGGCCTCGATACCTCAAACAAATAAAGAGGAGTATCTAAATGTTACCTCAGATCTCGAATGCCATCTTCGTTCATTTATACCTTGAGTCCTGCTTTCATAAGCTCTAGAATCTCCACCAATTCCATCATTAAATAAATCGCCACTAAAATCAAGAATCCATCTGTCACGAGATCTTAAATTATCAGAGTTACCAGACGGAAAAACAAAGGTTCTCGAATCCGTATGTCTTCTAGAACTGCGTCTTGAGAAAGCATCCCAAAATAGTCTTCTACTATTCATTCTTTCTTCACGACTGCCTATTTCAGCAGAACTACTAGCTAAAATATCAGAGGAGACACTTGGCATGTCAACATGCAGTACACTTGTATCTTGCCTGGTTTGTTCTCTTTCTGAAATGGGATTTCCTAAACCTGAAGGAATTACCTCCTGTAGAGTATCATCCCTTGGCGAATCAGCATTTATTGGTGACTCCGAAACAGTGGAATTGAAACCAGAACCAGAACCAGAGCCAGAGCCAGAATCAGAGAAAGAAAAATAAATTGCTTCATTGACATTATTTTCAACAGAAATATCATCTGATGAAGAATTGAGGCTCAGAGAAGAAGGAATAGTACAATTGGTGAGCTCTGCACCGAGATGAGATGAAATCCCATTCATATCGTTGTTTGTCCCACTGATGGCATCAATAGTTGGCCTTTGATTTGCAAATGCTGAATCAGAAGATGGTTGATGTATGTACAAAGTGCTGTCAGTTTCGTGAGTCCTAGTGCTGGTGATTGATTGATCAGAAGGAACCAATTCCCCACTTTTGGACAAGCATTTTCCTTTATCACTTGTGTCACCATTGCTTGGACTGCATTCAAGACCAGGATTCTCATTAGCAATCATGGGTCTTCCTGTTGGGATCCCATTTTCATTTTTGCTACTTGCAAGGTCGGCTATGCTACCAACGGATAAAGCAGCATATTTTCCTGGGAAATTTAACATTTCTGAATGATAATGTTCTGCAGAATTCACCAGCAATTCAGCAGGATCATCTTCCATCTACAGAAAACAAATGAAAACTCATAGAATAACCTTTAATGCCTAATTTACCAATCACTTCAAAAATGTTTAGAATATAAGAACAAGACAACACTGTTAACATTTGAAGACGAGCTTGTCAATAAAGTTTTAACATTATTTTCCTCTGTTGCATACGATCATGAATCCGTTCCCTCAAGGCTCTTTGACAGCACTAGCCTATGTGTTCTTCCCACTAGCCATGGCTTGGCCTGACCCTTGGCTTTGATACCACTTGTCACAGGGCTGTCTAAATATGATACAAGAATAGAAAGCTCAAGCTAGATGGCTCAAAACATACCTTAAATTTTCCTCGTAGTATGTCATGTGTGCTTAGAAGAGAGCAAGACTAGCTGATTTTACTTTTTCACAAGATTTTATTTTTTTCCATTTTTTGATGCTTTGCCCAGCTATCTGTGCAATTTGACTTATATAAACTCCCAGTAAATTATTAGGAAAGTACAATAGTCAAAGAAAAAGAACATTATAACATCGCTAATTTTTTGAATTTTCTAATTCAGATGATATTAAGAAAATCACATTCCATTTCAATATTCAACCATCAAGATATATCCTTCACAACTTGCACCGTCTTCAATAGACACTGTTCAACAAAAAGTTAATGGAAACACAACAAAATTATTCAAGTTGAATGGAATAGTTCAACATGCTACAAGCCACAAATCTTGCACCTGTCCAAATCTTAGTATTGCATTTCCATCACAGCTTATTCTTAAAATAGAGATAAATCAAGATACTCTTTGACAAATTTAGCTCATTTCTAATCCAATAGGTACTCCATTCGGATTGCTGAAAACATTACTTGAATTTAAAATCCAAAAGTAACTTATTGGGTTATTCCTTTTATCAACCAAATAAATCCTACTATTCATCTGACTGCAATTCGTTCTAGTGAAAGTAAAAAATTATTCTCTGGACATTCAAGAATTAACTTTTATGCACGTACCCATTATTCAAATGCACCTATTATCGCATTGAGAAAATTTCAGAAAAATTGAATCCATGGTA